TCTACTCTTTGGAAGGCGACCGGCGGATAGTCCAGCCGTTCTCCCCATTCCAGGAGCGACCCAGGTATAGCTCTCGTGCTCTCCTATCACAATATTATGTAATACGCGTGAAGTGAATTATAACAATTATTGTGGGAAGGCGTCCGATGAACCTCCTGTACTCTACTCTTTGGAAGGCGACCGGCGGATAGTCCAGCCGTTCTCCCCATTCCAGGAGCGACCCAGGTATAGCTCTCGTGCTCTCCTATCACAATATTATGTAATACGCGTGAAGTGAATTATAACAATTATTGTGGGAAGGCGTCCGATGAACCTCCTGTACTCTACTCTTTGGAAGGCGACCGGCGGATAGTCCAGCCGTTCTCCCCATTCCAGGAGCGACCCAGGTATAGCTCTCGTGCTCTCCTATCACAATATTATGTAATACGCGTGAAGTGAATTATAACAATTATTGTGGGAAGGCGTCCGATGAACCTCCTGTACTCTACTCTTTGGAAGGCGACCGGCGGATAGTCCAGCCGTTCTCCCCATTCCAGGAGCGACCCAGGTATAGCTCTCGTGCTCTCCTATCACAATATTATGTAATACGCGTGAAGTGAATTATAACAATTATTGTGGGAAGGCGTCCGATGAACCTCCTGTACTCTACTCTTTGGAAGGCGACCGGCGGATAGTCCAGCCGTTCTCCCCATTCCAGGAGCGACCCAGGTATAGCTCTCGTGCTCTCCTATCACAATATTATGTAATACGCGTGAAGTGAATTATAACAATTATTGTGGGAAGGCGTCCGATGAACCTCCTGTACTCTACTCTTTGGAAGGCGACCGGCGGATAGTCCAGCCGTTCTCCCCATTCCAGGAGCGACCCAGGTATAGCTCTCGTGCTCTCCTATCACAATATTATGTAATACGCGTGAAGTGAATTATAACAATTATTGTGGGAAGGCGTCCGATGAACCTCCTGTACTCTACTCTTTGGAAGGCGACCGGCGGATAGTCCAGCCGTTCTCCCCATTCCAGGAGCGACCCAGGTATAGCTCTCGTGCTCTCCTATCACAATATTATGTAATACGCGTGAAGTGAATTATAACAATTATTGTGGGAAGGCGTCCGATGAACCTCCTGTACTCTACTCTTTGGAAGGCGACCGGCGGATAGTCCAGCCGTTCTCCCCATTCCAGGAGCGACCCAGGTATAGCTCTCGTGCTCTCCTATCACAATATTATGTAATACGCGTGAAGTGAATTATAACAATTATTGTGGGAAGGCGTCCGATGAACCTCCTGTACTCTACTCTTTGGAAGGCGACCGGCGGATAGTCCAGCCGTTCTCCCCATTCCAGGAGCGACCCAGGTATAGCTCTCGTGCTCTCCTATCACAATATTATGTAATACGCGTGAAGTGAATTATAACAATTATTGTGGGAAGGCGTCCGATGAACCTCCTGTACTCTACTCTTTGGAAGGCGACCGGCGGATAGTCCAGCCGTTCTCCCCATTCCAGGAGCGACCCAGGTATAGCTCTCGTGCTCTCCTATCACAATATTATGTAATACGCGTGAAGTGAATTATAACAATTATTGTGGGAAGGCGTCCGATGAACCTCCTGTACTCTACTCTTTGGAAGGCGACCGGCGGATAGTCCAGCCGTTCTCCCCATTCCAGGAGCGACCCAGGTATAGCTCTCGTGCTCTCCTATCACAATATTATGTAATACGCGTGAAGTGAATTATAACAATTATTGTGGGAAGGCGTCCGATGAACCTCCTGTACTCTACTCTTTGGAAGGCGACCGGCGGATAGTCCAGCCGTTCTCCCCATTCCAGGAGCGACCCAGGTATAGCTCTCGTGCTCTCCTATCACAATATTATGTAATACGCGTGAAGTGAATTATAACAATTATTGTGGGAAGGCGTCCGATGAACCTCCTGTACTCTACTCTTTGGAAGGCGACCTGCGGATAGTCCAGACGTTCTCTCCATTCCAGGAGCGACCCAGGTATAGCTCTCGTGCTCTCCTATCACAATATTATGTAATACGCGTGAAGTGAATTATAACAATTATTGTGGGAAGGCGTCCGATGAACCTCCTGTACTCTACTCTTTGGAAGGCGACCGGCGGATAGTCCAGCCGTTCTCCCCATTCCAGGAGCGACCCAGGTATAGCTCTCGTGCTCTCCTATCACAATATTATGTAATACGCGTGAAGTGAATTATAACAATTATTGTGGGAAGGCGTCCGATGAACCTCCTGTACTCTACTCTTTGGAAGGCGACCGGCGGATAGTCCAGACGTTCTCTCCATTCCAGGAGCGACCCAGGTATAGCTCTCGTGCTCTCCTATCACAATATTATGTAATACGCGTGAAGTGAATTATAACAATTATTGCGGGAAGGCGTCCGATGAGCCTCCTGTACTCTACTCTTTGGAAGGCGACCGGCGGATATTCCAGCCGTTCTCTCCATACCAACAGAAGTACTAAGTAATCCTCTCCGAGCTTCCTCAGGCGTCCGGGTAACTTCCCGGTACTCTCCTCTCTCAGAGGCGACCGGCGGATAGTCCAGCCGTTCTCTCCTCCAGAGAGTGACACAGGTGTCAGTCCCCGTACTCTCCTGTGCTGTAAGGGCGTCCGAAAGCTAGGCTTCGTACTCTCCCACTCTGAAGGGCGACCGATGGTAATACCTCGTTCTCTCCCAACAGAGTACAGCAAGAATGCCGGCCGCGTCCGCGGCCGTGGTATTTATATTTGACCGTTGCTAATGAAGCGCGGCTAATCAACAAGACGCGTCGCTAAGTGCTTTCCCGCGCGAAACCGCGAGACTCCGCGTAAAACCGCGAGTCTACCGCGGATCGCAAGCTGGTTTCTTCTAGAAGCTTCTATCGCTTCGCGATTATTCGGCTGACGACGAGGATAGAGAGTCGTCCCTCTCACTTCCTCTCGTGAAAAATGAATTTTTTTGGCGTCTTCGTTGCTAGTTGTTAGAATTTGATATTTTGAAGGTTGTTGATCTCCAGCCATAAACGCAAAATTTGAGCTGTCGGTGTTCGATCCTGATGGCTGAGTTATGATAGCATATTGATAGCATGGCTGTATGCAGTGTTCTGTTCGTTTCAAAATTTTTGCTTTTGTTTTTATATTCGAGTTCCTTTTTATAATAATAGCATTCCCTCTTAACATGTCCCTTTCGACCACACTGATGACATTTTATTATCCCAGCGTTTTTATGGGATTTAGGTTTATTGTATTTGTTGGAAGAGTATCTATTGTATTGACGATTTCCCTGCTGTGTCGATGATTTAAAATTGAATCCTTTCATTTTATTTCTATGTTCCACGTAGAGTACTTTAGCACTCGTATCTCTGCTTTCAGTTAATAACTTAACGTCCTGATCCAGAAGTCTTGTCTTAACAAACTCTAGGCTCAGGTTGTTCTCGGAAAGTGTCTCAATTACAGTTATTATGCCATCATAAGAGGATGGCATGGTTAATAGCAAATGAGATATTTTGTCCATTTCCTTGAGTTTAGCACCTGCTGCTAATAATTCAACAATTAAGTCGTCAAAGACTGTAAAGTGCTTCAGTAATGCTGTATCACTCTGCAGTTTCAGTGCCAACAATTTCTTTTGTGACGTCGGCTACACCGACGATTGAATTAGTGATAAGACATATTGCGACGTCGAGTATACCGACGATTGAATTAGCGATAAGACGTATATAATAATTAGTCATAAGCACACTCCGACTCCACTCCAAAACATAACCGAACATTCCAATCCTATCTCCCATAAACATCCGTCCGAACCAACTCCTTATCTTCCCATAAACATCCTTGGCCCAAACCAAATTCCACTCCTATCTTATCTCCAGCCTAAACAAAACCACATCAATAAGATTCACACGCCACCCTATATTCCCTCGATTCCCGCACCTACAAAACAATAGTATAAAAGAAGCGACAACCGATCAGTCTGTAGCCTGTAGACTGCAGTCTGCAGTCGCGGTCTGTAGTACACAGTCACAGTCTCCGTCAAGTAGAGTCCATCCGAGGACTTATTCTGGCCATCGCGTTCCGAAATCGTTCTATTCCCAAGTTTTACTATATCTAGTGTTAATTATTCTAAGTTCCATATATATCCGTAATCATTCTTACGTTAATACATATACCTCGTAGATATCTACTTCCAGTATATTTAATTCAATATCCAATCCATAACTCTAGTGCATTACGACACTCTTCTTACAATAAGTTGGGGCGGTGCTGACTTAGCTGCACGGCGAACATTGTTAAGAGAGCATCGAGAGTAAGATCTTAGACGGGGGCGCTGACTCAGCTGCGCGGTCTAAGTTATTACGCGACAAGCACATCAGAGTTAATGCCGCGTACGCGGCGCGCCGGTTTCAAGTACCAACTGCGTAAAATAGTGCGCGAATATCACCGACCAGCATCTCACGGACGCTGGCCTCTCGGAGTCGAAACAACTCCCATCCTCGATCAAGGACTCCAACGGAATGGAATCACGTGGAGGTTGATTCCCCTGGACTTGGATCGACAATAAGCGGATTCTACGCGCCCAGACCATCGTCGCAGTCCCGCCATCAGACACAGACGTACGCGCTGTGTGGAAGGCAAAGATTGTTCCTTGTGCCGTTCGGTCGAGATAACGATAGAAATATCGTTGCATTCCTTAACCGGAATCCCGGACGTAACAAATTGGTGGCAGCGGTGGGATCGCAATCGCTGCGATAAGAAGTCTGCCGCAACTCATCCGCTTCCCCGAGAACAGGCAGAGTGACGTCACCCTCACCCTCTTCGAGCGCCACACGTGCATCAGGCAAGGCCAGAGCAGTGACATCATCCTCCCACCACTCAGGCGCTGCGCGCGCTTCAACCGAGCCAAGTGGGGTTATCTCCTCCCCACTCCACACGCACTCCCGATGCCGTGGGAGCACCCGCATAACACGCAGTCTTACGCGACAAGTCACCACGGCAACACGTGCGAAAGTATCCGTGCTGCAGTTCTCTGTGCATCTGTTACGTCTAGCGACGTTGGAGTTGGACTTCAGTGATAAGTGACACCCTACGAACGCTCATAGCATAAGCACGTACCATTAAGTATAGCATAAGCATATAACATTAAGCATAGAATAAGCATAGTCATAAGCGCGCCTTTACTCCTACTACATCATACTACCAGTCCTTACGTCATCCTTCCAGAAGCCTCCAGAACAGTCTAGATCATTCCAGAAGCTTCTAGAACAATCCAGATCATTCTAGAAGCAATCTCCGATAACCCAACTTCCATATCGCTTCCACACCTGCTTATCTTGCATACCTCCGTTATCTCATAAACATCCGCCGACTAATCCGTCCAGACTAAACCGCCAGCCAAACACATTCCATTCCCATACTCGTATTACTCCCCAATCCCTTATCTCACAAACATCCGCCGACCAACCGACCGACCCAATCTCCGACTGCATACCAATCCTATGACGTCACCATGCACGTGTCCCAGCCTCCCAGGCTTCTCCCTATCGCATTCCACCGTTATCACATAAACATCCTGACTCCCACGATCCAAGCCACACGTGTCCCAATCTCTTCCCAACAAATTCCACCGTTATCGTATCTTCACCACTCCCCGCAATCCTACATCCTAACAGTATAACTAAGCCATACCTCCAGTCACGCAGTCAGTCCGAGCCCAGTCTCGGAGCAGTCACGAGCAGTCTCTGTCCGGAGCTCGAGGAGCTCACTTCACCGCGTTTCTACATCTTGTGTTACCATTTCTTCTACATCTCACTAGTTCATAGTCATTGTATTCTACCTCTTCTAAGTGTATTAAAGTTTAAGTGTATTAGTGTACTAAGTTTACTCGTATCCTATATTATTCATTTTATTAAACCCGGTTAAGTGTTAAATCTTCTTGTCTCAAATAATTCTAAATCCCAACTCCGAATAATAATTAATCACGCGTCATCGAAGAATACAGAAGGAAGACAACCCTGAAACAACGACAACTTCTCTTCTACAGCAGTACAATTATTCACGTAAGTATTAACATAATATTACCAATTTAATCGCGAGAGATCCCTGTCAGACAAAAAGAATAGCATCTACGTTGCAATAGTTCCGATTCCGCCTTTCTGTGCAAACCGGGACGCAACAACTGGTGACAGCGGTGGGATGCAGCTGTTCCCTCTCGCGAATATATTCTTCCACGACGCGCTCTTATTTTGCAACATTTTAAATATTCCATTTTCATTATATTTGTTTGTGTATATTCCTCTGCTCTTGTGCCACCTAACGCTGACATACCAGCGTAGTGTAGTGGTGAGAGGAAGGGAAATTGAACACAGGCAAATATTATTTAATAAGATTCTAACCTACAATCGTCGTTCACCTAACGCTGAACTACCAGCGTAGTGCAACGACAGAGGAAAGAATTTTATTTCGCCGCGAGGAAACCCGTTTATCTCGTCATATCTAACGCTGACTTACCAGCGCGGAGTATTGACAGTAAAAGGAGCCTTCCTATTTTTGTAGATCAAACCAAATGAAACCAACAGTTCCGAATTCGGACGCCGCAGACTCACCTGCGCTGCAAACCAAAGCGGACGTTGGAATCAAGAAGGTAGACGAAAATCATAAAATTTTTTTCTAATAACATACATTTCCACTTGAAAAAAAAAAAAAATAAAAAAAAAATAAATTGAAAATTATTAGAAGCGCAAAAGAACAGGAAGGCGTGGTGGAAAGAAAGTCCAGGCAAAACGCAAATTCGCGATTGCCCGGGAACTGGAAGAATTAAAGAAGCAAACCTTGCCATACGTAACGCCTTTTCTTGAAACGGAACCACCGCCGACGCCAGAACCGCGGGATATTCCACCAAACCCGCCGGAATCGCCAGAAATCCGACGCAGAAACAATCAATATTCCAATTCCGCCACCACCCATTGAAATACTAAATACGGAAACAGCGTTAAAGGTCAATCATCATCGCGAAATCCCCGACCACATGTTACTATCTTTTATAAAAACCTTTTCTGGCAATAATGCACACGAGAATCCGGAATTTGTTATCGAATGGTGCAATTCAATGTGCCTTCTAGAGCAATAAAGAACCAGTTCGCAATCATTTGAAGTTTTTTTCCCTGTGTACATTAGTATTTGAATAAGCAAAATGGAAACGCGCGCAAAGAAGCACCCTGAAAACCCCGAAGACCCCAGACGTCTTGAACGAGAATGTGAATTGCTAATGCAGGAACGCGACGCGGCGATAGCACAACTCGTAGCCGCGAGGAAAGAAAGTAATTCACCGCAATCCATTCATGATAATACACCCGTGGACTCTTTCACTTTAAAAGAAGCGCTAGCAACGATACCAACATTTAACGGCACGGAATCCGTGCTAACATTCACGCGTGCATGCACTCGCGCTCGCGACCTCGTTCCCCCCAGCGCCGAAGCCACTTTAACGCGTCTAATTACTACTCACCTCCGCGGACGAGCCGCAACAGCCGTCGAGGATGAACGCTACATCAATATCGCGGATCTTTGCACGCGATTGAAAAAGGTATTTGGCCCACAAAAAACTGTGGACCACTATCGCGGCGACATGGCCAACATTTATATGAGGGAAGAGGAACACATCCTCGATTACATAGCGCGCGTAAAAGACATCCGGAACGCGATCATCGACTGCGACGCATCTACAATCGCAGAAATAGACAATCTTACGGTAGATTGTTTCACGCGCGGAATAATTCCCCAATTACGCAGCGGTTTACGTCCCCTACTTAGAAGCACATTATCGCAAGTCTTCGACGAAGCCATAGAATTATAGAAAGAACTCGAACACGATAACTTGAGATACGGCAACGAGACGAAACACGTCTCATTCCAAGAAAAAAACGCCGGAACGTAAAACATATTATAGTTCACCTCCCCCGTTCCGACCTTCATGGCGCGAGCCATCACCGCGTAGATATTCCGACTATCAACAACGCGATAATCGTGCATCTCAGCGCAGCTCATACGATGCGCCGCGCAAACCAGAACTACCGCCGACGAACACAACAAGATCACAAAGAATATGCACCTATTGTAAATATCCGGGGCACGATATACATGAATGCCGGAAACGACAATACAATAACCGATTGAACATAAATCAGGGAAACGGACGTGCCCTCCCGCCCAACTTGGACCGCAGGCGAGAGGCATCCCCGGCAAGAACGGTCCGAAAGATCGACGCGGAACGCGAACTCGAATCGCGAAGTGCCAATTAGACCCGCGCAGCAAAGTCCCCCATGTAGAGGTACAAGGCCCAGGATTAGCCTTTAAAGCTACACTAATGATAGATACCGGATCGGAAGCAAACCTAATCAAAAGATCCGTTCTAGATCCGCGAATCAGTGTTACCAGCGACGAAAAGTTGAGACTTTTCGGTATCACCCCGCAAGCCGTCTCAACCCTAGGCGCCACCGACATCCCTTTATATGGGACCATAGTTAGGTTCCACGTGGTTCCCCACAATTTCCCAATCCCCGCCGACGGCATCCTAGGAGCGCACTTCCTGGAGGAAGGTGCAGAGATTTCCTACCCCAAAAACCGCGTGTTATGGAAAGGAATAGAAATTCCCTTTACCAACAGAACACGCCCACAACGCGAAACCAACTTGGAGGGGAAAACAAACTCCAAATTTACTAACTCTAAATCGGAGCAACGCTCCAGAACTTCCAATCCTACTAGTTCGGAACCACGTTCCAATTCTACCAATTCTAAATCGGAACAAAGTTCCAAAACTGCTAAATCCACTACACCTACCAACTCTTCTAATTCTTCCAATTCCTCCAATGACACATTGTATAAGATCAAAGCACGATCAATCCAGGTCATTGGAATTAAAACCACCGGACCGGAAACAGGTTTCCTGCCACGTCAGGAGCTGGCACCCGGCATAACCGTATTCGATTCTGTGGTCAAAAATACGAACGGGAAAGCATACGTTCGTGCAGTAAATTCAACTAGCGATACAATAACCTTCCCTATACCCACCCTGACGGTGCAGGAGATCGCAGATCTCGCGGTAGCCCCAAATAAGGGAGATTCGAAGTATGTTCACTCCATTAAGGATAACCGTTCTCACGAACAGAGGGAAAAAGAAATACAAGGTATAATTAATACCGACTACTTAAACTTTGAGGAACGCGAACACGTACACCGAATCATAAGCGAGAATAGCGATGTCTTTCACCTCCCAGGGGAACAGTTGGGAAAGACGATTGTAGAACACAGTATTCCTACCACCGACGAAAAACCTATTAATGTAAAGCAATACCGTTACCCGCCGATCCATAAGGAAGAAATCAATAATCAAATGAGGGAATTGTTAGAAAACGATATCGTGAGCCCTTCAACGTCTCCATACAACTCTCCCTTATGGATCGTGCCGAAGAAGCCAGATGAAAACGGCAACAAGCGTTGGAGAATGGTAATCGATTATAGGCAACTGAATGAGAAGAGAATACCCGACGCGTATCCGCTTCCTAGTATTACGGAGATCCTAGACCAACTGGGATCGGTTTCTTCAAAACGGCTTTCTCTACGCCCTATGGGCACTATGAATTCACTAGAATGCCTTTCGGCCTTCGAAATGCGCCCGCCACATTCCAGCGACTGATGGACTCAGTCCTCTCTGGCTTACAGGGCACAGAACTATTCGTATACCTTGACGATATTGTTGTTTATGCAAGTTCATTGTCAGAACACAATGCAAAATTCGATAAACTCGCAAAACGCCTCAGGAAGGCAAATCTAAGGTTACAACCGTCGAAATGCACATTTTTACGACGCGAAGTTGCCTACCTAGGCCACATCATAAGCGACGAAGGAGTTAAACCTTGCCCTGATAAAGTCGCGGCAGTAAAACAATTTCCAAAACCTAAAAACGTAAAACAGCTCCGAGAATTCCTTGGACTAGCCGGCTATTACCGGAGATTTATAGATAAATTTTCACACATATCAAAACCTCTGACCACTCTGTTAAAAAAAGATATGAAATTTGAATGGCAATTGCCACAAGATCAAGCATTTAACACATTACGCACGGCACTCTGACCAGAGCCAGTCCTTCGTTACCCCGACTTCTCCAAATCATTCAACATCACTACAGACGCGTCCAACTATGCAATCGGCGCAATCCTCAATCAAGGCGAGATAAACAAGGACCAACCAATTGCCTACGCTTCGCGGTTACTCCACGGAGCCGAACTGAACTACGCAACCATCGAAAAAGAATGCTTAGCAATCATATACGCAGTTCAGCATTTCCGATCTTACATATACGGCAAACCATTCAATCTCATCACCGACCATCAACCACTTGTGTGGATGAATTCCGTGAAAGATCCCTCCTCACGACTGCTACGCTGGCGACTAAAACTCGCCGAATACGAGTATAAAATTATCTATAAGGCAGGTAAAAGGAATACAAACGCAGATGCTCTCTCTAGAAATCCTATTTCCACTCCCATCTATCCGTTAACATCAGACTCCACTTCACCATTCCTGTTCCAAACGCAACCATCAACCTCCTCTCCGATATCACCAAACATAGACAGCGAAATTGATATCTCCAGTCCACCAACAACGCAGTCAAACATACGCTACACACGAGACAGGATTATCATGCAAAACGATAACATTGCTTGTTTCATGACACTTTCTAACGACCCACTGGACGAAGGCGCCATGGACTTATTTAAAAACAAAAATTTACCAAGATTAACTAATGCCGTAATCGGCCGAGCAAAAGTGCATACAGGAAAATACACTTTAATCCAATTACCAGTTAAAGAAACAACAGCACACACAGCAACAATACAAGACACATTTGAATGTTTAACAGCCCTGCGCGACGCGACCTTAGAGTTAAATTTATCGTCAATCTCCTTATCTCGACTCCATCTGGACGATATTCCTTGGCCCACAATACGCAATGCACTGACAGAAATTTTCGAAGATACGGGAATCCAAATCACAATCTGCAATCACGAAATTATTATTCCCCCAGAACAATCGAGACACAATATTATCATTGATAACCACACATCCGCATACGCAGGTCACAAAGGAGTGAATAAAACCTATAGACGCATTCGGGAGAAATATTTTTGGCCCTCCATGAAACCCGAGATAACGAAATACGTAACTACCTGTAAAGATTGCCAAATTAAAAAACTAACGCGAGTCAAAACACGTAATCCGATGACGTTAACAGACACTCCCGGGCATGCCTTCGACAAGATAGCGCTCGACGTAGTAGGACCACTCCCACAAACACCCTCCGGATATCAATATATACTTACGATGCAAGATCTTCTCACCAAATATTCCCTCGCAACACCTCTCCGTTCCGTCTCCGCCGTCGAGACAGCCAACGCATTTGTAGATCACTTTTTCTGTAAATTTGGCGCACCGAAAGCAATCTTGACAGATCAAGGGAGTAATTTCACAAACGCACTTATGCGAGCAGTCGCGAGAAGGTTCAAAATCCAGCAAAACAGAGCAACAGCATTTCACCCACAAACTAACGGCTCCCTGGAAAGGTCCCATCACGTCTTAACCGAGTACTTAAAACAGTATATTAACAAAAATAATTGGGATGAATGGCTACAATGCGCTATGCTTAGTTACAGCACGAGTGTTCACGAGGGTACACTATTTACTCCCCACGAACTCGTCTTTGGCAACAAAGCCAGAGTTCCTTCCGCGAATACGACAAACTCATTAGAAGACGAAACCTACAATTCATACTTTCAATCTCTCAAGTCCAAACTCTCTGAATCTCAGGCAATAGCAAAAGAAAATCTGAAGGCAGCAAAATTACGCTCCAAAAATTACTATGATAGGAAGATAAATTCTAAGGAATTCTCGGTAGGCGACCGCGTCCTACTGCTTAAAGAACCGACAAAAGGCAAGTTCGATTCGCAATACACCGGACCACATACCATAATAGACAAAATAAACGACTGTAATGTAAACTTAAGATTAAATAGCGGCAAAACCAAAATCGTACACGTAAACAAGCTCAAGCATGTAAGGACAACATCACCACCTCTATCGACCTCAAGATCAACATCGTCTCCATCAACATCCGGACCACCTCCATCCCCGATGACGTCTTATCCCCTCTTTACCATCCGTTGCAAACAACCCGCAGCATATAAAAAGGCGGCAAACAAACGCTACACCAAAC